AAATAACTTATTAGTTTCATAAATACTTCTCAAAAGTCTTGTTAAGGTTGGCAATTTTCCCTGTCCCGCCTAGGGTTCACAGCCCCCGTCTCAAGTTGCGGGGCTGGGCGGAGATGCCCCGCCCCAAATCCGCCTCGTGAAGAATAATAAAAAAAAAAAATTATTTTGGATATTTTTTGTTTCGAGTGCTTGTTTTGGATGTTGATATAGTTAATTTGATTTGCTTTGAATTTTAAAATTTTGAATTTGTATTTTAATAGGATTTTTTTTAAAAAAAGGGGTAGGCCCGTGCCCTGCACCCACCCTGCCCCGAGCCACGCCCCGTTCCATCTCTAAGTCTTGTCAAACGAACCCATAATTATTTTTTGAAACATAAACAGTAATGCTATTCATCACTACATGTGTTTAATGCCGGTATATCTGACATCACTTGTGTCATTAAATTACAAATTCAATTAAACACAAGCATGTATGCTTAATTTAATAGAATTCATCACATGTTGACATCTACATTGGTATTCCATTGTGACGACATTATTCAAACATAGGTGCCCCATGCTTGTTAAACGCGATGATGAGTGCACATGCATCTTGATAAATGCGATGATCAGTGCACCCATCACAACCAGATTCAATGGGGGCCAATGTTCGCTAGTTTCAGTAAACCCAGCTGGATAATTGCACAGTCCACACGGCGGAAATTGCGTTCACTTTCATGCACATTAATTGGTCATCACCATGTCCAATGACTCATCCGAATCACATCGATCGACCGTTTTATCTACGTTCGACCAATTTTTTTTTATCCCTACACGAAGTCATTATTTTCAAAAAACAATGTTTTGAATAGTAATTTTTAGGAAGATATGTGGTTAAAAAGTAGGGAAATTTTTTAGATTTACGTATAAAATATTTAATTGTGTGAATGTATGGTTGAAAATGAGTATGTTTAAAAAAAAAAGATTTTGAAAATAATGTTTTTTCGAATATGTGCCAAATAGAGAACTCGTAAATTGTTTGTTTGGATCGTCCCAAATCAAAGGATCGAGTTTGTGTAAACTCAGTATGAATAGCTGGTTAAACTACTGATTTGATGTTAAAGACTAGAATATGCCTTTGAATTATATTGTCCATCTGTCTAAACTCTTTTTTCTATATACTCATTTTCCATTATATATTCACGTAATATTCTGTACGTAAATTCAAAAAAATTTTAAACTTATTTTTCAAAAAATCACTGTTCAAAACTCAATTTTCTTAAAAAAATAAATGTCAAGCGGGGCTAAATTAATTTTTTTTAAAAATCTACCTCTAATGTATTATATATTTATAATTTGATAGTGACAAAAGTTGACTCACGATAGTTTCCCCTAACTTTAAACTAACTAATTTATTGATTTTTATTTTTGTAAATAAACCTAGTGATAACTAGATAGAAAGGAGTAGATCGTTTAATTAATACTCTTTAATGACACGATTTTCTTCCTTCAAAATAATTGCAATTTATTTCGAATAATAAAGAAAAAATAAATAAAATAGATGAAAGCGAACGTGATATTTTTATAATGTCCAGCGTCCACCGTCGGCATGGACCCATGTAAGTCTATTGGGTGCAGGCCAATGCCGTAACATTTCGTATGATCCGTACGGTCCAAGTCGTACCGCAAAACCACCGACCGGACCCTTATTCCTATTTTTATTTTAATATTAATTTATTTAATAATATAATACTTTAAATGGGAAGAAAAAGGGGCCGCAGTGATGGACATGACATGGATATCCACCAGGTGGGCCCACTGGCCCAAATGTCGGCCCATCCGTTACGCAACAGCCATAAAAGCAGCGTCTTTTCATTACATGGCATGTAATGAAAGAAAAGATGCCTCTTGTTTCTAGAAAAACACTACGACTTGTAACTGATGGCTTTGCCACTACGGCACGACCTTTTTGAAATTAGATTATCTCTTATTTATTTATTTATTTTTATCTTAAAAATAGGGTACTAAAAAATTTCCCTTCGAGATTTGGGGCAATACGATCATTTAGGGAAGTCGTTGCATCGAAACATTTTAATCAAATAAAATAAGTTTTTCTAGTAGTTTCAAGTGATGCTGATCGATTCCTTACATGATAGCGTTTAACTTATTAGCGAGTCATTCAAAGAGATGGTTGAACACCTCGGACCAAGTCCTACTCTAGTGTAAGAATGAGTCAATGATTCTAAGATAGTGTAAATTACGTGTTGGAAATATAAAAGAACGTTCAAGTAATAATATAAAGAATGACTTCACATTTATCCTGTAAATGAGACTCCCTTTAAATATGCTTAAAAAACGTGCTAATGTGACATGGGATAGGCGTCCCTAGAACTTCTTTGATTTTAGACAGAAATATCGAAGGAGAAAAGGATACGACGAATCGTTGTAGATTCTATGATATGATATGATATCGAGATATTTGATTGTTGATATTTGATTATTAATTATCGTATCTTGGATATGGCAATCAAGACATGGAAGGTGGGGTCTCTTTCTCCTTTGTCGATTGTTCTTCATCGATAAGGCATGTTTTGATTCTGGAAACAATGATAGTTCGATTTTGATGGTCTATGTGACAAATTCATCGCCATCATATAGCGACACGTAATTTTAGTAAAAATATTTATGTCATTTCATAAAGTGAAATAAATTGGAGGTAGAAAAAGTAGGCGAACCAACCAACCTGTACGTACGAATGCCCCATCTATGGACTGACTTTTAAGAAAGTTGTCTGATATTTGTCCACTCTATCCCCAATCATCCCTGCAATAATAGTATAATACTTCCGTACTGCACCATATCTTTCAATATTTTGCCTGGTTGACTGGGAGCTCCATTTCTTGATCCAATCCTATTTCTCTTTGAAAATTTTTATTTTTCATGATTGATAAGTATTCAAATTCAAAATCAATAATAAAATTCGACTATCGCGTTAAATACAGAATGATTGAATTTTTTTTCCCTTTCTAACTAGTTGAAAATTTGAAATAGCTTTTGTTAAGTCGTGAATGACAATGTTCTCCTCAAAATTATACCAATTCTCTTATTGTAGATCGTGACATGAATGTACTAAAATCTGATTATAGATAAATCCAAAATGGGTTTGGTTTGATTACAACATTGTAGGAAGTTTTCTATTTTAATAGATTTTTTTGGTATAGTTTTAGTAGAGAGCAAGTGAAGTAGGTGAGCTGGGTTGTGACTTAAGATTTGTGCTTTGAGTGTTAGTTTGAAATTTCATGGGGGTGGGTCTGCACCCACAAGACCAATTTTTCTTCATGAAAACTGAAGTGTTAGGTTAGATGATGTTTTGTGATGCTATACAATTATCTAATCTTGAATCGACGGCGAGTCAATATATGCAAAACAACACACTGAAGGTTTTAGAGGAAGGAAGAGAGATCAAGTCAGTAATCAATCCGAACACACTATTATCAATATTTAGCAAAATTAGTCATTAAATGTCATTTAATGTATAGTATTTGATTGTTATTGTGGGTTTTTATTGTTTACTTTTGTCGCTTCAAATTAAGACGCTATTGATCACGTATTGTTGAATAATGCTATATGTACATCAACCATAACAAGTTGGTTGACATTCCCCTTTACGTGGAGGAAATCTGTGCAGAGATATGATGGATAAGTTCAAAATCAAATGTGTAGATGTTACCATGTAAAAGAGTGTAAAGAAAGGTGTAAGAAACAGTGTAAGTATATCAATGTCGCATATTATTTGTTCATAATATTGAACTGTACAATATTTGATCATTATATGAAAAAGTATTTGTACCGGACATGTCTAATTTGGAGCAAGTTGACTTAACGTATAATGGAAAGATGACTAAGAAGGCAAGGGTGGGTTTCATTCGAAAACAACTTGGCAACGGCTTTAAGCAAGTTGGTTGCCTTGCAAGTTGCAATGTGCAGATTTATTTGTCACATTAATTCAACCATAGCAAAAAAAAATCCATTTAGCATTAGTCCCCACGCCCTATGGGACACACTTTTGTTGAGCCATATATTTGGTCATGTACGGTCATGAAATGGTACTACTGTACTAGTAGATCATATCATGTAACATGAGTGATGGACACTCGATACATAAATTTTATTACGATCGGTAACAAACTTAAGTCATACAAATTTTTTCCACACGATTTTAACCAAAGGGTAAATGGTTCTTATCTCACTTATTTTGGTTTTTCTTCATTCAATTAGTATTGGGGTAGCAATGAATCAAGCCAGTTTGGCCTTTAGACACCTGAGCTCGGCTCGGTAGAGCCGAACCCAACTTGTGTCCACAAACTAGCTCGATTTGGCTCTTGAACTCGTGGACCTCATGGACCGTTCCGTCATTTTTTTAAAAGAAATTAATAAAACAAATCCAAAAAATGAGTTGGCCCATGAGCCGAAAAAGGAGCCAACCTCGTTCGGCTCGTGAAAAAAATTTGAGCTCGACTCATGACTCTTCTCAATAGAATGGATCTCAAACAAGGGCTTAATTGCTGATGGCTAAGCACCATATGATTAGGGTCCCACTGAAATCTCAAATGTCATCATTTTCATTAGCCAATATTAAAAAAATAATAAAAAAAATCAAACCCTGAAAACTTGCAGCTCATTTGGGGGGATGAGGGATACATAAGACCATTACACACTAGCATAGTGGAATCAGTGTGAATGTAAGTTTGAACTCAGGGAAAATGTCAACAATTGAAGGATGACAAATATGTTTGAAAAGACAAGATATTCTCTCCAGCTCTCGAGCGAGACAAAGGAGAGTCCAAATACAAATCCTCGCAGACTATGATTGATTATTGAATGAAACATTTTGTACTTTCAGTTTCTGTAATGAAACCATAACCACAACAAACTCGAGATTGAATGCAAAAAACAAAAACCCTTGACCAAACAAATAAAAATGAAAGAAATTCTTTTGTAAACAATAATCAATCATCTATCCTATTCAAAACCATCATCAAGCATGGGTTTCTCAGCATTAGCTGGAGAAATATATAGATCCGTAGTGTTACCTGTACTCGTTGATGAATTATAATTAGTATAACCAGCTCCTGCAGTTAAGGCATCGTTAGTCGTAAATGTGGTAACATCGCTAAAATTCCAGTCAGTCAGGTATACGGGCCTTGAAGTGACAGTTGAGATCTCGGCGTCTCCACAAAGCATTGCCACCACACGAGACATTGAAGGCCTTTGGGTTGGGGATGTTTGACTGCATAGAAGCGCAACACCTATCACTCTTTTCACCTCATCCTCGTTGAATGCAGATAAATTTGTGTCCACCAATTCCATTCCCCGGTTACTTTCATGCAGGTGCCAGGCCTGAAAGTGAATAATATGTTAAGTTACAACAGGCGACAGCAAAGTAAGATGGAAACCAGAAAAATATTTGAACTCTTGAATTATGCATACCTAAAAAACTCATTTAAGTGAGAATCGTAAACAAAATGATTCACGTGAATCGATTCAAGAGAAAGTAATAGACAGGTACCCATTCGAGAAGATATATCCGATCTTCTTCCAAACGTGAGTCAGAATTTGCTCTTCCACTGACGATCTCCAGGGCTACGACTCCAAATCCAAATACATCAGCCTTCTCCGTGAGGTGACCACGCATGGCATATTCCGGCGCAAGATATCCACTGCAAGAGCAATCAGGAAAATTTCAGTAATGCACTCAACTACTTGATACTCTAATTTAAACTGCAGATGCAACTAGATATTAATTTAGAACACAATTAAAATTATCGACCATGAATTAATTGATCTTACATCGTGCCTGCAACACGGGTGCTTATATGAGTCTTTTTGTCATCATACAACTTGGCTAAGCCAAAGTCTGAAATTTTTGGATTGAGTTCAGAATCAAGCAGAATATTGCTTGCCTTTACATCTCTGTGTACAATTCGAAGTCGAGACTCCTCGTGAAGATAAGCTAGACCTCTTGCTACCCCCAAGCATATGTCAAAACGTGTTGGCCAATCCAAGCATAAGTTTCCGTTTCCTCCTATATCGAAGCAAAAATGTTCAATCTTCAGTATATTGGTGTTCACAAAAACATCTTAGCAAGAAGCTGTACGCAAGATATAGCTTTTACCAAATAATGCTTGATCAAGACTCCTGTTTTCAAGATACTCATAAACAAGCAACCGTTTATCACCCTCAATGCAGCATCCATACAATTTTACAAGGTTTCGATGTTGTACAGCAGATATAGTTGCAATTTCAGCCACAAACTGGCTCTTTCCTTGATGGGATGCTACAGACAGTTGCTTAACAGCAACAATTCTTCCATCCGCAAGTGTTCCCTTTTGATCACAAAATACAAAATACGTATAAAGAGCGAGAAAACAGTATTGCACTTACCAAATAGATACACACCGAGACATGATCTGTAATAATTATAAAGGAAAGAAAGAAAGAAAACCTCCAAGTATAAAAGATATATCATATATGTGACTACCACTTTGGTAGCGAAAGCTCAAATCATATTATCCTTGTTTTTTTCTGGTTGCGTAAAGGCCAGAACTCGCATGTTATGAAAGAAAACACAAGGTAAAAGGGAAAAAAAAATAGGTACGGGGTATCTTACATCAAACTTGTCTCTGCGTTTAGTGCCAATCTAAGTGATAGGACATCTTATGTTCTTCGTGTTAAAATATACCTTACCTTGTAAACAGTCCCAAATCCTCCCTCGCCAAGTTTATTAGACAAACTGAAGTCATCTGTTGCCGCTCGTAGTTCCACATAACTAAAAGTGTATGGTCTGGCATCCATTCCCAAGAACTCTGCAAATTCACAGAAACACGGTTTTTTGCTTTTCAATTTCCTAAGCTAATCGTTCCCTATTTCGTGATAATATACAAAGGCATGACAGTCTTGTGGGATGTTGGGAAGATGGTTGTTTTAATTAAGCACAAGTCTACCGATCCTTCTCACCTTCATCTTCATATCTCTTCTGCCTTTTTCTTCTCTGAGCCAAATAATATATGGTGAATAAGGAAAGAGAGCTAACAGCTCCAACAGCGACAACAATTCCCACAATCAGACCAGTTCTGTTCTTCCTACTCGTGAGATCATTCGGAGGATTGTTACTTACAGTGGGAATGAAATCTGCATATTTTTTTAGTTGTCAAAACTGGAATCAATGGATTAAGAATCATTTGGCATGTCTATGTGATATCGAATATTTTGAGTGTGTACATACCTGGGATGACACTTATTGCTGAAATGGAGGGTCCATATACACCTTGAGCAGGTACGCAGCATGTCCCCTTTCCAGCCCAAATGAGATGAATCTCAAGGTAATTTCCCGTCACCTGGGCTTTAAATTCCTTCACCACAGCTCTAAAAGAGGCCCCGCCAGCCTCTTTTCTTATGTCGAAATCTTTCCATACTAGATTATCCTGAACACATGAAATGAAGAATAAAATTTAATATCAACTGTACCATATGGGATAAAACGGTTTGATAACCAAACTGAGGTTGGATTTGTATAGAGTATTTGATGGTGCAATCCAGAAGGATGTGAATATAGTAAGGAAGAATCCTGAGATATCAAGGATGGAGCTGCCGTATTATATTGAATGAAAGTTTCATGAAAACAATAACATTATCGCTGACCATAGAATGCTGGAGAATACAAAAGTTGGAAATAGAAAACCAAGGATCGAGCTAATTCACGTAGAAGCTTGATCTCCATACAGTCCCAGTACTTTATTGGTGATATTTTGTTTAGAGGAGTTCCGATACTCCATAACAAAGAATTCACGAAACAACCAAACAACTTTAAGTTCAAGATCTAAGGCAAGCAGCGTTTTTGTCTGGGCTTAAGAGCATTAAATTACACCTGCATTTCAGTTAAGAATTTTACGAGTGAAACCACATACCTGAAACCTTTCATGACATGACATGACATGACAAACATTTTCTACAGTGATGACATCAAATTAAAGTACAACTAGTAATGAAGCCAGGTGTATAGCAAAGATAAGATTCAGGGAAGCATGCCAGTAACATTCAGTGGTGATTGTTTTCCTTCTTATTTTTTATCCTATCAAACAACAATAAAAATCTGTTTAAAGGGAAGCAAGAACAATGGTTGAAAACACATTCTACAATTCTACATAACACAGACCTGAATATATATGTTGAAAATGCGCCTTCCAAGACTCCTCCAGGATGTAGGATTTTGAATTTCTGTCTCTCCAAACTGGAGGGACACATTGTAATTTCCATTCTCCAGGCCCAAGCCATAGTATCTTAGTGATCCAGCAGATATCCGTGCACTCTGGAACAGCTCTGGGTCCCTTATATTTGGGAAAATAGCAACAAAGTTCGTTGTATATCGTGGATTGGTGCTTCCAGAAGGCAGACCAACATTACTAACTGCCCATCTGCGTTCCCTGGTCACATAATATGTTGCTGGCCCAAGAGTCTCATTGTCTGCCTCGTGCACAATCCCCGCAGCAGATCTCATTTGTGGACCACCACATTTAATTGCAAAGCTGGAATCTGCAAACCATCCTCGAGTAATTTGTGAATTTACAATGCAAAAAATAACAAATAGCAGACACTGGAATAATTTTCTGATAGTAATCATGTTGGCAATATGGCTGTAGATATAGTTGAAGAGCTAAACTAGAAAAGGAAGATTAGAGGATTTACAAAATCAACGTGGCCCTAATATTCAGCCATCAAGTCTATATACAGTAACGTAGAAAATAGACATGATAATTTAGTATCATTCAAGGATCATTAAATGATCAATCTGGATTCTTGGCAATAAACACACCAAACTCATATCTGTCAAAATGTCTAAGCGAGCATTGGCAATAAGCCTCCTCCGGAGCATAGGACAGTAGGTGACAAAGCAGTCCCCATGGCGTCTTTTTCAGAAAAGAAAAAAATATATGATAAAGGAATAATTACCACCTATTATTATTACCATACTCCCTTCTCTCTATTCTACATTTTTCTCTATTTCACCATTCATTTATATTTTTTTATCTTTGTTGGTAGATTCATATCGGTATGTGTAGGTTTCAGTTGTATTTTATAACCTTGAAAAGAGCCCAAAAATATTTAAGAAAGTGGCAAATCACCTAGGCTCCCAGGCAAGCAACTGCGACAACAATGAATATAGTAACACGTGCAAATACTGCATGTAGATTTCATAGAAATCCCATTTTGATTATTTTTTGTTTTCTACTCCAGGTCACAGAATTATTGCTGCCCTTTGTGACAATTCCATGTATACACTTTTAAATAAAAGTAGACTGTTCGGTTCAAGCCCGACTAAGTACTGCTGTATCCATATGGAGTGTATTCCATTCACATTCAACATAGTGCCATTATTTTTTGAAATTATGATATTACAGTTGTCCCTATCAAAATAGAATTAGCATTCTGTACACGTATTCCAATGTAAGAGAATCCGCATTCACGATTAAATCTTTCACCTTTTGGTAGCACAATAATGTATTGAAAGAAAGTTGATCACTCACACTGGGGGTCTCCTCGATTGCAAGAGAAATTTCTTTGAAGACAATTTAATCCTGAAGGCATAGCACTGAAATTGAAAGAAGAATTTATAGCTAATTAGGAAAGGTATCATGTCAACTGCTTTGATATATTGTATATTATGCACTCAGAACGTGAAGCAATCTCATTCACAAGTGGATTGGAATCTAAACACCATTCATTCCATAGTGGATCGACATATTGAATTATGTACTCTTTTGTGGGAAATGGTTAAAAACTAATATAACTTCTTCACCAGTGGGAAATGTTAAGAAGATGTCCTCAATTCTTCTGTGATTAAGAAGATGTCCTCAATTCTTCTTCAAATGAATACGAGCTAAAAACTTGGAAGCCTAATGTACTGATCAAGAGTGTATGGTTTCAGATATGCACCTGCTGTTAGAACCTTGCAAGACGAAGTTGTTGGCGACCAAATTACTGCAGAAATTTTTATTAATTTTGGGGTATGCCAGCTTTAATAACGAGACAATATTTCAAAGAAAGGAAAGACGAGAGTTCTGAACTATAACATTTAAATCATGCTACTTTCTAAAACGAAGCTGTTCATACAGTTGAATATTTTGCTGGTTCACCCAAGAAGGGAGGTTCCCAGATAATTCGTTGTATGACAAATCTCTGCAAGCAAATACAATAAAGATGTCAAGGATGGGATATCATTCCACAGGTCAACATAGCATTCTATTCTACAGGCCACTTTAGAATTGTTTTAAAACACAGATCAATTTCCTCATAGAATAACAAAATAAAGGTACTACTGTAGTTTATCCCATGATAATTACTATTTAAGCTTCCATTTAAATGATTTTTCGTTCAACTAATTTTATTATACAAAATCAAGCTCTTTCAGAGGGGTACAATTCATAAACACCATAAAAAAGCGTTAGTACAGATTAGAACAGACAATCAAACACAACTTCTTAAATGATGCTTAAAACAAGATCTTGTTCTCAGATATTTTGTTCATAATTTTTGAGCAGGCCAAAATTTCTCTGTTGTGTTGTAATGGGTCTGCAAAAACTTTAATCAAAGGTATTTCTCCAAGAACTCAAGATTATTACTTCACATATAACATGTTTAATGCCTTTTCCCACATAATTTTTGTATATTAAGACTATAACTAAGCAATCTAATGCCTTGCGTGTATGACTGTACATAAAATCAAAGCATTGATTAGCGGTTGTATCATCTAAATCAGGCTCGAGATACTTAAAAAGATTGAAAGCCGTAGTATTTGTATTCCATCCTTGGGGTTGTGCATTTGGAACAAAAGAAATTTGACTGAAGCCTTAATAAACAGCATTTAAGATTTGAAAAGCAGCAAAATGTGTTATATTACTCACATATTCAGGAGAAGTGAAGTCTTTTGGGCTGGCAGGACACCAGTCAACCTGTTATTTCCAAGAAACCTGAACATGTAGAAAGGTATTACCTAAAAAGATACTTCTTTTTTCGCTTTTTTGTTATTTTTCATGTTGGGTGGCAGATAATATGTGCTCTCAACCATAAGAAAGAATATCATAATTTATTACAAGTGAGTGAGTGAAGTCAGATTGAACAGTGAATCTGGAATCCTTCCACTGAAATTGTTGAAGCTCAAGTCCCTGAAAATTTAAATTATGACAAGGTTTCGGAATAAGCACCGAAATATTAACCTCCAGATCACCATTAAAACTTAGAATAAATATTTAAAATTTATTGAATTAACAAGTTGTAACAGGGTTAAACCTTATGCAGTGAGGCAGAAAAGTTGGGGAGACTTACAATAGTGACAATCTCCGGTAATCTTCAAAATTCAAAGGTAGGGACCCAGAAATGTTATTATTCCGCAAAATTCTGCCGGAGAAGTGAATCAATTGAATTAGAACTTGCTTCGAAAAAACTGGGAATGGAATTAAGAAGATCGTGTTGCTGCATATTTAGAAGCTCTGTTATGTTTCCTTACAGTGTGCTCAGAGACTTCATCTCTCTGAGGAAGTCCAGTGGAGAGCTTCCATTAGATAGATCACATATTCTCCTAGGCATCAGATTTCACCAAAAACTTTAGCTACTGCAAAGCATGCATGAAGAGAAAATACTGAAAACTGAAACAAAACTGAGAGGTGCTTAAGACTCACAAGTCATTCAAAGAAGTTAAATTAGCAAATGTTGATGGTATTGGACCCTCAAATGAGTTTCCTTCAAGCCTTCTGCAAATGTATATTAATATAGCAGATTATAAACTGAGATTATAAACTGTGCAAGAGAAAATCCAAATAAATTTAGTGGTAAAAATATATCTCACTACATTGGAAAAACTAAACATGTGGATTGAAGCACAACAAATTCAATAAAAATGAAAAGACACATTAATTATCTCACAGGAAAGTAAGCTTCGACCATCCCCCAATGAAGTTCGGAATCAGGCCCGTGAGTTCATTGTCCGAAGCAAACCTGACATCCCCAGCAATTTTTTACCAGTGTTCTTGATCGCAGAATAATTAATTAAATGAAAATTCTTCTAGTTGAAATAAAATGGAGAACGTGTCTTCGAGGTCTTACACAATCTCCAAGTTCTGCAGATCAGCAAATGTAGAAGGTATCGGACCACTTACTCCAGAGCTATCAAAGTAACTGGCAAGGTGAACATCATAATGAAAAACTGATATTTTTTTGTACTATAAAATAAAAATCATAATGATTTTGGTGTTTTTCCTAAGAGAATTAATAAAGAATCATCAAGCTTGAAGACGTCGACAAGAAAAGATTCAACAATAAATTAAGCCTTTTTCAGCTGAATGCATCCTTCTTCAACAGTAAAGAAAAGATTACTAGAGAAAATTAAATTGTCAAAAAGTTTAATAACGAGTTCCTACGATCATTATTGCACACAAGACTAAGACTTGTATGTAATAAAACTGAAGATTACAACATAGTAAACCAAGAAATTGAATGATTAAAGCAAGAAAGACCAAATGTCAGAATAGTTAAGAGAATATTAATGTACCAATCGAGAAAAGGAAAGGGATGCAAGAGATTAGAAAAGGTAAGGGTTCTTGATGAGCCTAAATGTATCAAAGCGAGATCATGAAATCCTCAAAAGATAGTGCAGTACGCAGGACATGACATACTTCGATATTGCAGACATGACCATTTCCTGAGTTTATTGTTTGAATTACATTTGTAGCCAAACATAAGTATCACATTCGTTACCCGACGACACATAATTATGCAGTTGCTGGCACTTACAATTCTCTTAAATTTGTAAGCTGTCCAAGCTCAGATGGTAAAGGACCAGAAAAGTTGTTTGTGCCAATAGCCCTGCACATGAGCAACTAAACATTTATGCATTTTGCTTTCTTCAAAAAAAAAAAAAAGAAAAGAAAATAAAAAAAAAAATATTATTCCGCAAAATTCTGCCAGAGAAGTGAATCAATCGAATTAGATCTTGCTTCGAAAAACTGGGATTGGAATTAAGAAGATCGTGTTGCTGCATATTTAGAAGCTCTGTTATGTTTCCTTACAGTGTGCTCAGAGACGTCATCTCTCTGAGGAAGTCCAGTGGAGAGCTTCCATTAGATAGATCACATATTCTCCTAGGCATCAGATTTCACCAAAAACTTTAGCTACTGCAAAGCATGCATGAAGAGAAAATACTGAAAACTGGAACAAAACTGAGAGGTGCTTAAGACTCACAAGTCATTCAAAGAAGTTAAATTAGCAAATGTTGATGGTATTGGACCCTCAAATGAGTTTCCTTCCAGCCTTCTGCAAATGTATATTAATATAGCAGATTATAAACTGAGATTATAAACTGTGCAAGAGAAAATCCAAATAAATTTAGTGGTAAAAATATATCTCACTAAATAGGATAAACTAAACATGTGGATTGAAGCACAACAAATTCAATAAAAATGAAAAGACACATTAATTATCTCACAGGAAAGTAAGCTTCGACCATCCCCCGATGAAGTTCGGAATCAGGCCCGTGAGTTCATTGTCCGAAGCAAACCTGAAATCCCCAGCAATTTTTTACCAGTGTTCTTGATCGCAGAATAATTAATTAAATGAAAATTCTTCTAGTTGAAATAAAATGGAGAACGTGTCTTTGAGGTCTTACACAATCTCCAAGTTCTGCAGATCAGCAAATGTAGAAGGTATCGGACCACTAACTCCAGAGCTATCAAAGTAACTGGCAAGGTGAACATCATAATGAAAAACTGATATTTTTTTGTACTATAAAATAAAAATCATAATGATTTTCGTGTTTTTCCTAAGAGAATTAATAAAGAATCATCAAGCTTGAAGACGTCGACAAGAAAAGATTCAACAATAAATTAAGCTTTTTTCAGCTGAATGCGTCCTTCTTCAACAGTAAAGAAAAGATTACTAGAGAAAATTAAATTGTCAAAAAGTTTAATAACGAGTTCCTACGATCATTATTGCACACAAGACTAAGACTTGTATGTAACAAAAATGAAGATTACAACATAGTAAACCAAGAAATTGAATGATTAAAGCAAGAAAGACCAAATGTCAGAATAGTTAAGAGAAGATTAATGTACCAATCGAGAAAAGGAAAGGGATGCAAGAGATTAGAAAAGGTAAGGGTTCTTGATGAGCCTAAATCTATCAAAGCGAGATCATGAAATCCTCAAAAGATAGTGCAGTACGCAGGACATGACATACTTCGATATTGCAGACATGACCATTTCCTGAGTTTATTGTTTGAATTACATTTGTAGCCAAACATAAGTATCAAATTCTTTACCCGACGACACATAATTATGCAGTCGCTGGAACTTACAATTCTCTTAAATTTGTAAGCTGTCCAAGCTCAGATGGTAAAGGACCAGAAAAGTTGTTTGTGCCAATAGCCCTGCACACGAGCAACTAAACATTTATGCATTTTGTTTTCTTCAAAAAAAAAAAAAAAGAAGATTCTGTAGTTATGGACATGCATATCACAAGATCCTTGAAATAAGTAAGGCATTGAGAAAGTTAATGTCTTCAACCAAAACTAACGAGGTCTTACAGATTTCTTAACTCAGTCAGCTTGCCAAGTTCCTTCGGAAGCTCCCCCGATAAAGCATTAATTCCAAAACTCCTAATGGCATTAAATTCAGAAATTGTAAACATTTTTATTTTTTACATGCCAACAATGATACTATGAGCCATAAACCTTTAAAAAGGGATGGCTTACAGATATTGCATACGAGTGAGGTCGCCTATGGATGGAGGCAGGGGACCTGTCAAATAATTTTGCGCCAAATTTCTGCAATAAAGGCAGTATTAGTGAAAAAAAAAAACAGGATATAAGTGAAGAAATCAACCAGTACACAATTAACCATACACATCGGTGAGGAAGGTTAAATTCCAGAGCTCATCCGGTAGTGGACTCACAACATCCAATGCATATACTCTCCTGTAGTACAAAATTAAACGATACCAATCCAATTCAATACGGTATATTAAAATAACGTAGCATTATTGTAAGAACACGCCCAAAAGAAAAAAAAAAAATTACTTACAGCCCAATAATGCGGCAAGTGGTGGCATTATTGTAGGAGCAGTCACATTTGATCCCCGGATTGAAGTTCTGGATGGGGACGCCGTCATCAATTGCAACGCCGCTGCATAATTCACCGCTAATGTTCCACTGATCGTTTGCCGAAATCCCCCATCGCTCGAACATGGAATTTATAGCTCTCGCTGCATATCATAATTACATTCTTCACTAAATTTTCCATCATCTTCATCAATAGTTCATGAGTATATATATGTAGTGACGAGTGATCTGTAAAATTGTTTTATTGGAAGAAAATACTCAAAAGAAAATTTTTTTAAAAAAAATCTGTACTAAAAGCAAAAATCCACTTCATTATTTTGATTGGAAATTTTAAAAAATTAAGTAAAGCTATTTATAATAATTATTATATTTATATTTTTAACCTTTTTTTAAAAAAATTTCATTTTTATTCTCAAAGTAAAAAAAAGGTGTCTCTATCCTAAAATTTCATTATGATGGAATAAAAGACGTATTGCCCTTCGTATTTTCAAAAAATATTAAAAAATTAATTGCACAAAAAAAACTGAATTTTGGGTTGACATTACTAAGATGGTGTATGGTGGAGATTAAAATTAGATTTTTTAGTGGATTGTGATATAAGTTTTTGAAATGTGTGGTTGAAAATATATCGGACCGATGAAAGATGTAATTAATATTGATTGTTTGATTTTGATTTAGATTAAAAAAGAAGGAAAAATTATTGATGTGATGGAAAATATTATTTTATTAAAAACGTGTAGTCCACTTCATCTATTCTATCCACTTTATTAGCCCCTGATAATCATTATTTCAATTTTTTTTTTCTATATACTCATTTTGAATCAAATATTCACAAGTTAAAATAATCTGTACATAAACCAAATTTTTTTTCCTAATTTTTAATTACACATTCTCGTAAAAATTTCTATTCAAAACTCTATTTTGTTGTCAAACATGGGCTTAATGGTGAGTGATGGAGCGACGGATAGTATAATGAATTGGTAAATTCAGTGGTTAGTCAATTGGTTTATAGTTCAATGGTCAATGAGAACATTGTGGAAAATATAATTATCAAATAATGCATTTAACCTCATGTTCGTCAAATCTTAATAATATTAAACTAATCAAACATACTTTTTATCCACATATTTAATATGATCCATAATTTACTATCAAATTATTATCCAATCATTCCATAAAATCTACCAATTATAAGTATTTTCATAAAAATTAAGCTTCGTCCATCTTGAATTAATGAATAAGCTTACAAACAAAGGATGAAACAAATTTTAGCACCAGGCATGTTATCCCAAATCTTAAAAATCAGAAAAATTATTTATGAAATTCCCTTAGTTATTGTGGATAGCACGATTTCAACTTTATGCAAGTATTAATCAATAATTATATCTACTTATAAGTAAAGTTTTCAAGCATAGCTAAACATTCATGGTCATTGCACTTGGCCATTGAAATCGTGGGTGAAGCCGGGGTTAGGAGAACAATGGTGCACGTACATACCTTCAAAAGGATCAGTGGTGGCGTTTCTTCGAGCTTGAGCTTGAGCCTGAGCTTGAGGGATCTCGACCAAGACCATGTTTAAAACTAAGCACAAGGCTACCATCAAATCTAGTTGCTTCCGATGTGCTGCCTTCATGGGGTTCATCTTTGCTGATAAGTTCTTGCAGAAGAGAGAGAGAGGGGCATAAAGAGAGACTTTAAGTTAGAGTTGGATACACACACAAAGACTTGAAAAATGAAGCGTTCCAAGTTGAGGATATTATGGTGGAGCTAATCACTACCTTATCCAAAAAATGGTGCTGATTACATTACCTTTCAATTATACAAATTTAAGGCTCCATGGCCCCAACCTTTTAATAGGAGTAGTTTAAACCATAAACTAGTCAATGCGAGATTTATCATTAACAAGCTCTAAAAGATGGTGGCTCGTTTGAGCAAATCATTCTTGAAATTCGTGTATTCATTTTTTAATTTTAATCAAATTAAATTATTCGTTGAAACTTATTGAGCTATAATATCATATTAAGATTTGGGGTTTTGATCTTCAACCATGCTACAAGTACAATTTCTTGACATCAAGTTTGACAATGTGCCACTACAAGTATAAGTTTTTTGACATCAAGTTTGACATTATGCCACGTGTTGAAGGTTGAGTGGCCAGTTTTTAATCACCACTCACTTTCCCGCCCATTCGAATTTGAATTAAAATGGATTGTCAAATTCCTTGTCAACCATGAATTGCACACAAAACATTATTCTTTGAGCTTTTAGGAGTAAACCAAATCCTTATATGTTGATTAGAATTGACCTCCTATTTTCAGTGGATACGATAAAAAAATTTGACCGTTGATGTGATAAGAGAACTTTACTTTAGTGAGAAATTTTTATATAAGTACTGATATAATGATTTATATTTTGATAATTAGTCCTTAACGTAAAATTTGTTGGGTAAATTTCAACAATTGATCAACTATTTCAGATGTTACGATAGGAGCAGGGACAGATGGAGTGGGACAGCCCGACCCAGCCCCCATCCCCTGATTTTTTTTTAGTTAGAAAAAAAAATTTATGTAAAAAAAAAAAATCATGTGTAATTTTTTTTTGTTACGTATTAGCCCGACTTGTAATTCGGTTCTGGATCCGTCCCTGGACAGGAGCCAACTTGAACGGCGCAGTGTGCATGCATGTACCTCAAAAATGGAATTCGAGGTCAATTCTGCACTACTCTTATCAAAAAGTGAAAGAGACTTGCTACTTCCCCAGCCCTGTTTGACTAGCATTAGTGAAAGTTTATTTTTAGGTAAGATCTTGACTTTCTGCTTTTTTTTGGCAACTAGTTGGTTGTCCTCTTCATATGTGTTCAATTTACATTTTGCAATTACTTCGTGTTTTTTTGGACCTGTTAATACCAACAGGGGTTTTGATCTTTTAAGAGTAAACCAAATCCTTATATGTTGATTAGAATTGACCTCCTATTCTCGGTGGATATGATAGAAATTTTTCACTGTTGATGTAACAAGAGAATTTTACTTTGGTGAGAAATTTTGATATAAGTACTGATATAATGATTTAAATTTTGATAATTAGTCCTTAACGTAAAATTTGCTGTGTAAATTTCAACAATTGATCGACTATTTCGACTGTTACGACAGGAGCCAACTTGAACAGCGCAGTGTGCATGCATGTACCGCAAAAATGGAATTCCAAGTCAATTCTGCACTACTCTATCAAAAAGTGATTAGAGATTTGCTATGTCCCCAGCCCTATTTGACTAGCATTAGTGAAAGTCCATTTTTGGGTAAGATTTTGACTTTCTGCTTTTTTTAGGCAACTAGTTGGTTGTCCTCTTCATTAATTTTGGTTGAAATTAAAATTAAATTTTTTAGTAGATTGTGATAAATTTTTTTGAAATTAGTTGTTGAAAAGTTGTGGAACTCATGAAGAATGTGTTGGAGATATTATACGAATAATGTGTATATTATATTCAAATCAATATGTACCTTTTATGCTCATGAAATCGAAATAGAATTCGACTTACCAAAATGAGATTTGAGAAGACAAGCAATAATTATTGAAGTTGAACACGTGTCAATGGATGTTGTTGGACAAGTTTCACTAATTGTGTATCGAATATACAGAATAGATACTGTATTAGTGAATTTTACTTAAGGCGTGGGCACGCCTTATTGAATTGAAATTCTGACATAAGTGGATACCTCAAATATAATAATATGGATTCGTCACTTCCCATTATGAGTGAACGCTTGTTGTTCTTCAATTCAAATTTTGCATGAAATCAAAAGAATATTGATTACTTTCTGAAATCAGAATTCTAAATTAGAATGAAATCAAAAAGAAGAAAGAGGAGATGCAAGTGATGCGATTGGTTTAGGCAAGTGTTTGACACTTTGTCCTTAAAATGAATTTGCCCCGCATCGGTGCTAACGGTTTCTAGCAATCATCTCTCAAGATACATCGACCACGTCAAGCTATAGGATCACTCCAAAGGGCTTCGACCAACGAACTCAAACGAAATTCTCTCTCTATCATAACCATGATTTTGATGCAAGTGTTTTATACAACTTAACATGGAATGGAATGATATGCAAACTATCACTTTGAACTATATGAATCCAAACACATGATGATTTATATATAGTAGTTAGAAAGGTTTGTCAAAAAACACAATCATACCAAGAGACGCATCTCTTGAAATTAAGATTCATAATTATTGAAAAGTAATCATATCAAGAGTCATGATCTTTCATGTGAAAAGACACATCTTTTCATCTACACATTTTTCTAGAATATTTCACAATATTTTACATGATTTTTCAACAATTTCACGTGTTTATTAGGCTTAATTTCTCATTCACCAAAAAACGAATTCCACTTCAATAATCATTTAAATTGGCCACAACCAATTTCGAATTTCCAACAATCCCCACATGAATGAAAATTAATATAAATGACTATGCAGACACTAATAGAGAGAGTAAAAACACTGCGTTAGATAAGGTAGCTTTCGACTTTGAACCTTACTTAGTGAAATACCATCGGATTTACTTGGCTAATTGGTGAACATTTTGAACCATTCAGTCGTTGGTGTAAATCAAAACAATAGTACTCATACAATGTTTTCCTCAAAACGTTCACGGTTCTCATTATTGTGTTCTTTTGGCCTTGAACAACTCTTGGTTTCACAAGTGTTTAGAAAATTTTAACCTTGAACAATTCTCATTGAAGCGGCCCCCACTTCACACTTACATAGGCGACCTCCTATTAAGAGTATTAATTTCTTACTCTACTTGATTTAATCACGATATATGAATCATTAAAAGTATATCTTAACCTCACACTTTTCATAAAGCACTATAATTATCATAGGAATGAGTTCAGAAGTATTTTCTTGAGTGCTTTATTGAATCTTTATAATTTAGTTGTCCCTTTGAACTAAGATCTTGGGATCTCCAATCAATAAGATAGGGTTACCATTACAAAAACTCTTACTTAGTAGGCTTTAATCCCATTCCCCTCGATATGCAGTATTCTTGATTTCTCGGTAAATTTCTTAAATGTACCATGAGTTTATACCATTGAGACTGCTTAACGGTATTATGTCTATGACTTATACGTCTAGACTTACCATTACATGTGACTTAGTATCTCATCAAATATAGATAGCCAACGATCGATTGATTTAACAGATACAACATGTCACCACCAAAAAATCCTCTATAAAGTTACATGTTTCTAACTAACTTTATCTAAAACTTAATAAATTCTAAACAATAATGTTAGAGAATTTCTATCACGTATTACACTAATCAATCACTTTTACTAGTGAATTTCAAAAACATGGGTATTCAATATCATTATTGAAATATTATAATGCATTTCAATTTTTTTGAATATTTTTCAAATATTCCAATTGATATTGCAACAAACGCCGTAATCGACTTTTATCCAATTTCATCCACTTTAGACTTAGTATGTATCATCCTTATAATTAATATAAGGGTTTTCTACATTTCTCACCTTCATAGATATATTTATATGATTATAAGGTATAGAAAAATTGTAACTTTTAACATAAGTTACCCTCACAATTCCTCCATTAGGAATGCACGTGCAACTAATAATGTTGCATCCACAAATCTTGAACATTTCATATATGTTCGCAAGCATTGATGTTAACCCCTACATTTTTGGGTTACACTTGAACTTAGAGTTCATCAACTCCTTCATGGTTCAATTCATTTATCAAATAGATAATGTCCATATCGAATGTTTTGTGAAAGTTTAAGTACTTTTAAAATGGTGGTCGTCTACCCACAATTTATTTCAATTGAAATTGTATACAATATACTTCAATCCAACTATCTTCAATTTGATCACATACAATTTGATCAAGGTCATCACATAGATCAATAATCTTTTTTTAAGTATAAACTAAGTTAATTGGTTTACGCATTTTAGTATAGTATAGTCCAACAATGAAAGGCTAAACATTTCGATTCACAATAATTGCATCTTCTCCAAATATATGCAATATATCAAATTTGTGACATTTCACATGATAGTTGAATGAATGAATCAAATGTAGACTCAAGAAGTTGTGTTCTCAAAATATACAATCCTACAAAATGAAACACCTCTCCATCTAAATTTATCCTAGAATATTTTATAATATTCTACACAATTTTACCAATTCCAAATTTTGTCATATTTTATGCAATTACAATTTTGCATAAATCATCTCACTTAATTTCATCAAATTAATTGAGGTTATCATCATTAATGTAATTTTCCATATTCCAATAAAAGGAATAATCATGAAAGTTCATATACTTTTAATAATTAGTTGGCATTCTCCCAACATTTATACATTTTCAATGGTTATGAGTAAATTCCCCTTTCTATCAATTCATTGCCCGAATTGTATTAGTCTCAACAATATCTAAATCATCACGATCAAGGTGACGAAATAGCAACTTATGTTCCAAACATTTATACATTCATTGTATAAGTTTATTCCATTTTAGTCAACACATTCATTGATATTGACTAGGAATATCAATATCTTGAGGAAATTCATACACTTCCATTTTTAGAGATATCATCATTGATCTCAATCTCGATCAA